CATGAAGCCATGTTGGCTGGGCCTGATGCCAGAGCCGCTGGGATGCAAATCAGCCCAAGCTAAGCACAGATGCAGCTACTATTTGCCTGACACGTAAACATTACTGAATGGGCTCAGCACCACTCTTTCAGAGCTCATTGTGGGATCTCAGTGTACTTAGATGGCACTGTGCTCCACTGAAGCACTCGAAGTTTGCTTTACAAGAGCCTAGTCCAGCTCTCAGAGTTGAACTGAGACAGTGAGTTAACCTGGAGCAAACCTGCCCTCTCTACTGGCCATGCCCATGCTGTGTCCTGAGCACATTCTCTAAAACCTGAGCATCAAGCTCTCCTGTTCTGTGAAACCTCAGGCTGCCTTGACAGAAACAGTATAGTGAGAACTTCAGGTTCTGTCACTTCCCAAAGGAGGCTCACACCTCTATTGCAATACAGAACTGAGACTTTACAAAAGCAAGGAAAAGAGTAGATTCATACCAAATCCTGCATTACTAGAAGAGTGGCATTATCCAAGGCAATTTTCTAGAGCAGCAGTGTTACAACTCCCCAGTGCATCAGCTCACACAGAATTCCAGCTACAACTATATGCTATTTACTCCACATAAAACATTCATCTGCATGTGCAAAGGAAATCCAGTACATCTCCAAATATTTTCCTTTGTCTTGAGGCCTCTTTAACAACCACAGGAGGCTAAGTAGTACAGAATGGGTTCTGCTCAAGGAAGCATTAAGTGGAAAAGAAGTTTTCAGCTTCAATAAAAAGACAACTAAGGGGAAATAGGACATACCCACCAAAAAAAGTAGAGGTGATAAATACAGAATGACTGGTTTGTATTTCCTACAGCACAAGAACAACATAATGACAAATGAAATTGTCATGCTGTGAGTCTAAAAAACAAAGAACATCTCTTCCCTCCTTCATATAAACACGGTATACGTAAATCAACTGTTCAATTTGTTGTCACGGGATATTTGGGAGCCTTAAAGTGTAAATCAGCTCAAAAAATAGATAATCAAGAGCAGAAAAAAATAAAACTATTGAAAGCTCTTAACATGAGATAATGTTCACAGCTTCAACTTTTAGCTCAAGTGCAGTCAGTGAGAAACTGAGAAGAAACAAAAGTACAGAGTAAAAGAAGCCACTGTATTTTTTGCTCCATTCATACAGCCTGCCTGTATGCTAATGGATGATGGGGGCAGACCTTTCATATGACCCACGAAAAAATATACCTCATGTATACACTCATGACAGTGTGATATTTCAACAATTCATTAAAAGCTTTCTGAAGCAGAAAAATAAACTTACAGTAAAAACCTCTAAAAGGACAGTTACACTCACTTATCTATCACAGTATTTTATTCCAATTAAAACTAGTATCTCTACTTCATGCTCCTCAAAGACATTTACAACATACAAGGTCAAGAAGAAAAATCTGCAGTTCCGATGGATATTACAAATCACAAACTTAATACTAAGTCTGGTACTATGACTCACTATTGACTGCACGATTCTGCCATCTCACTTGCATCTGTGAAATGGTACCAAAGAGGAATTTCTCTCATCATTCTACCCCAATTTTTTTAGGTCTACCTAATCTTTTCCTTACCGAACTGACAAAGAACTAGAAATAATAATTGCATAGTTGGTGTCAGTTATTTTTAGTTTAGATTTTACAATTCTTTTATCACAACTTAAGTAATATTAGTAGGAGTTTGTTGCTTTTCTTATTCAATCATACTGTCTCCTCCTTAAAAAAAACTCAACTCTCTCCTTTAGGGAAGTAATTGTAAAAAAAAAAAAGAAAAAAGTATGTAATTTTGTCTTGTAAGCGAAGCTCTTATTTCTGAAAAAGAAATGGTTTTAGAAAATATCCATCCTTTATCTTCTAACAGCTGTGTTCTCTGAATGCTGAAATTTTTAACTTGGTAAGGCTGATGGGTAAAGTTCTATTTTACAAACAGAAGGTTTTTTTCCACCAAATGAGCATGAATCCATTCTTCAAAGTTTTCCTCCTCCTACAGACAAAACATAGGGCATTCAAAGATTTTCATGAGCTAAATGTACCAAGTCACAGAACGACTTACTCCTCCTTTCTTTTCAGATTCTCTCTTGCCTCCTGTGCTTTGGCAAAAATAAACCATTGAAGGGTTGCTGGATCACAAACCGTTGGGATTGTAAAGTGTCCAAATTCATGTAAGCTTGGTGCATATCTGTCACTAATAAAACATGATGGAAATAAAAAACAAGGTATAATTTTTTTAAATGTATATACATGAATTACTTTCAGAATGAATCCTGAAGATAAAAGAATATCAATCACAGTAATTGGTAAAGAATTCATCAAGTTTGGTTCATGAAAATACAGAAATATCACACATAAGGCTTTTTAAAAATTATTCCTCAAAAACAACTCTGTCAACAATAATCAAAAAATACAGTAGCACCATCATACACAGCTGAGTGCTGACTCGACAGCACAAACCCTTTGATTTAATCTAACACAACACTGTGAAATAAAAGACAGAACTTTGTCTCTAATTTGAATGAAACAAGCAGGATGTTCTTTAATCTGATTCCTTCTTAACCCATGAAAGGCACTTAAAACCTTCAGAAACAAAAAAACTTTGGACAAAATGAAAACCCAAAATACTAGTTTTCTTCTTAGTGAGAATAATCAGTGTAACAAAAATAATATCTTTCCTGAAAATACCTACCTTTCCAAAATCATTTGCAAGCCTCGCAGACTGCGAGGATGAAAAGGTAGCCTACTGTCACGTAATTTATTATAGAAAGAGTCCAGAGTCTCGTAGTACTCTTCTAGAGTCAATAGGGGTTGCAGTTCTTCAATATATATTACTTGTATGCCTCCCAGAAGTTGGCTTATCCGATCTTCCAGGAGCAGCAGTCTTTTTTGAAGTTTATAATAATTTGGCAATCTCTCAAAAATCTGTGCGCACACACAAACATTTCCTATGTTACAAAGCATAAAACTTAACTTTAAGAAACAAAAAAAAATAACAAGAAACTATAAAAGAAGAGACATGTAACAATGCAAACATGGAACACAAAGGAAAAAAATAATCAAAGCACAACAAGGATCAGAAATACTTTGGGGCAAGATAAATTGGAATAAACTCCTAAGTATGTTCAGCACTTATACTATAAAGAACAAAAGTCCGTAATGAGATTGATGGATGTCCTTTTTCTCTATATTCAGAAATGGACAGTCTCAGACAAAATAAAATAAATCTGAGGCCTACATAAAACTTTTATCACCAGTTACAGTGGTAAGGCTTTTCCATATACAGCAAAAGTGGTTTTGCCAGCCTAATTTGTGTATCAATTTCCAAAAAAGAGAAGCCTCTGTTGCTGGAACTAGTTCTTTCCAAGGGTTTGGGTGATAACCTAGCTCATCCTGAGTCTGAAGGGAGAGGAGGCAGGACACAGGTACCAGCACTCTCAATGACAAAACCTGTACCAGCAAAGGTTAAGAAGTGATCAGACTTGGGAGCTGCCACACAGAAGGTGTGATATGGAGAAGGCTGGAAGAGGGCAACAAGTGAAAACCCGAAGTCTGTAGTAATTGTCACTACTCACCATCCACCCAGTTATCACCAGAGCACAGTTTTCCATACAAAAAGAAAAACCTGCTGCTGGAAGAAGTGATTTCAGAGTAACCTCTTTAGAAATCTGAGACCGCAGTAGAATCAGAACAGCTTTTGGGACAATAAAATCAATTGGTTCAGCGTTTCCATTTGTCACAGAGAAAAACTGCCCAAATTCTCTAAATACTGTGCCTCTGACCAAGCATTCTACAGACTGATCTGGACACTATTCTATTGCTTCCTTTTTCAGACAAATAGTAACAGAAGTACTAGTACTTAGGACTGCTTTCTAAAATGGGTTAGAATTGGACAAAGAATTCTGCTCTCTAAAAAACAAGTGGCAGACTTTCACTGACTTTTTCTGTGTATCACTTAACACGATCTTCAGTGCATTTAAAAATTAAAAGCCCTTGGTTTCAGGTTAAAATACATTTCCTCTATCTTCCACAACACTTTGTGCAAACATGACCCCTTCAGAAAACCCCTTGGCAAAAGTTAGAAAGGGGAAGCATTTCTCTTTCCAAGGAAGACAGTGGGTTTTTAGTATTGATCAGAAAAACACTTCCATTTCAATGACTATGAATACTTGCAAATCTCACAGTAGAAAGTTTTGCATTACATTCTAGTTTTTCAGTTTGAATTCTTAGTAAGTAATTCACATTAAGAAACCACGGTTTGTTTTCTCCCTCAGTGAAACAAATATAGGTGAAAATTCAACCAACCACTGGAGAAAGACTTGGATTGCGTGCTAAATTTTCATGTTATTCATTGACCAGAATATAGAATATTCCAATACTCCAGCTATATTTCCAACTACGAAATTTCATTGATTACCTCATTTATAAGGTAGTATGTTTTGATAAAACTATCAATAACATTTCAGCAACCAAGACTCCAGAAAATTTCCTTAAGTGACATGCTGATATTGCTACATAGTTTATGGTTCTTTGCATATAATACTTTTTTATCATTTAGGATGCCAGAAATCTTGTCAACTCTGAACTTTAAACAAACAGCGTCAGAATTTGCATAGTCGCCAAATACATATTTCTGCAATATCCACATTATCTGTCTAAAAGAAAAAAAAGTGGAGCGAGAGCATTGGTTAGCAGTCATTGGCTGAAATGATCATTTCATAACTTTCTTTAAATCTCATTTTTACAAAAGATCTGAATAAAATTCCTAAATTCTTCAGGGGAAGAAACTCTTCATGAATCATGAAATCTTTTGCCACTGCTCAATGCATAACAAGTTAGTTTTCTTATTATCTAATCAGTGTTAGGACAGATTTGTTAGTGAAAGCAGCAGTAAAGCTCTGACAAAAACTGCTGTTAATAACAGCGTATCATAGGATTAAATTTAGAATGCAATGTACACAGTTATGCTAAGCACAGTAGTTACACGTTTGTTTTAAATTACTCGTCAGTTATCTGCACCAATTAATACTTTGGTTATAGTTTAAAAAAAAGGATGTTATAACCGGAGGCATTTTAATTTACTCTGAAGTCTTACTTTGGTCCAGTGATGGTGAACATCCATGGTCCCCAGCATTATGTGGCCTGCTGCACTCATACCTGAACGGTCTGTAAACACCACTGTGCGCCCTAAAGGTTGAACAAAGCTCTTTACTGATTTAGGTTACTGCAATTATTCTCACAACTATTTAAGGCTTAACTCTGCTACTAATACGTCATGAGCAACACATCTCTGCGGCATAAACATATACAGGTTGGTGTGTGCATTATTCTGAAAATTTGAGAGCGATTCTTAAAAACTCCCAAGAATTTTTTCATACAAACCTTACCTATCATTTGCCTTCTCCTCCTGTACCAGTAGGAAATAAGCTATAAGCTTAAAGTGTATATAAGTAAGGTAAAGGTTGGTGAAAAAACTGTTAGCACAGCTATTCAACACTACTTCCACAGAACTCTCTGCAACATGTGAACTGTAAGAAATGTTTTCATGTCAGGTTTTTGCTCGTTTTAAAAAGAAAGAGTAGAGACAACATAAAAGCATAATACTAGGTTTACTTTTGGGGGAATAAATGCGTTTTGTGTCTGAGTATGTTTTTTTAAGTGAAGTACAACGATCCTCAAGAATTCTGTATGATAAATGCAGAGGCAATTATTTATCAAAATAAGCTTCCACAAAAGTTTTCAGTGTGATCTATTCAGCTACAAGTCAAGGCTTAAACAGAATCTCTTGCTCTCAGAAATCAGTTTTGCAAAATCCTTAAGAAAGAGCAACACTAAGGCATCTAGTCCATCCCTGTACTCCCAAGGCAAGATGAATTACACCTGTGTAATTACTGACAGGTGTTTACCCAGTATATTGCTGAATATCTTAAACACCGGGAGACTACAACAGGTGCACAAGACAGACTTCCCTAGCACTTTAAATCCTTCACATGCTTAGGTAAAGAAACTAATTTGAAACTTGATGAAATTTAAAACTCCTGCTTGTTGTCCTACCGACTGTCTTTTGACAAAGGATTAGGTGAACTCTAAAAGGAAAGCCACTCAAATCTGAGTATCTGCAGACAACCATAAAACCAGAGTTACTATTGGAGGAAAGTGCTACTGCCACAGGTCAAACAGCTGTACGAGAAGAACAGCAGGTTAGGTTTACAGAATCTTTTAGTTTTTCCTGAGAAAATACAGACTTTAGCACAGATACTTTACGGAACATGCATAACAAGATAATCTGATTTTAAAGTAAGTCATCCTTCTACTGCCTCTTCAGAGAGCTACTTGCACTTTTGCTTTTCAAGCTACCATGGGTAACTGTTTATTACTACCTCCACCCTCTCAGAGGTTCAGTCTGGACTTTTTACTTTGATTGTTAGTATTTAGTCTAGTGTCTCTTACTCACTTGGTTTGCATTTACTAAAAAGTAAAAGAGAAGACGAGTGTAATGAGTGCACCATAAAGGAAAGGTCACTTGAAAAAATACCCAGTAGCTTAAAATGTAAGTTCTTAGCAGCTTTTCAGTAAGTCTCTCAGGTTTGTTTTTGCAGTTATCAAAAGCATTTGTAAAAAGAAGTAGAGCTCCCTTGTCACAGAAGACTCATGCTCATTTTTGAATCAACACTCTGTCAGGATATAGGAAACAAGCAACAAAAATACCTTTAACATTCTTTAATACTTCAGGTCTCTGTTGGACTAAGCGACCTAGACTGTGTAGCTGGCTACAGCGGTGAGCAATACCCCAGCTTCTCTGCCACCTAAATAAAAACATAATTGAGAGCATTTCATTCACAGCATTATTAAAAAAGATAAAAATCACAGAAGTTGAGATGCAGCTGAAAGCCTTGTGATACAACCAATTCAAACAAAATAGCACTCCAACACTAATAAAAGCAAAGGCCTACCGAAAAGCCGTCCTTGTCATATGCTATTTAAACAGATAATAAGTTTAAATAAAATTTTGGTCCTTCTTAAAGTGAGTGCCAAAAAAATAGAAAAAAAAAATAACCAAATATGGGGAAAATAAACTCTGCAAATTTCTCCCCCTATAAGAAGGCGGTTAGTAAGCAAATAGCAACAGACAACCAGTGTTTGTTTCAGTCATGTGGCAAGCAGTTTCTGTTTGTACACTCTGTACTGTTTGTTTAGAGGAGCAAATACTGTACACAAGGACATTGTATTTTTTTCTCGTTTGCGTTCCCAGCCCAAAATTTTACTGTGATTCCAGTGGCAAGCTGATCTATATATATATTCTTATTTTACAGTAGAATAATTTTTGTTAAACCACCCAGGAGCCAGGTGTTACATTGGTGACTTAGTTTTGACGTCTTCCATCACTCGCAGATCAGACAAACTACCAGTGAAATTTCAAAACCCATTTAAACTGCAAAGTTGCTGCAGCGGATTGAAAAAATATCATTCTACAAACTTTAGCTGATCTAAAACTGCCTCAAAATGGGAAATTAGCATTCCCTTAAAGTACTGGGTCTGTCTGGGATGGAGTTAATTTCCTTCATAGCACCCTGTGTTTTGTATTTTTCACTAAAACAGCATTAATAACACACCACTGTTTTTGGCTACTGTGCAGTGCTGGCACAGAGTTCGTATTTTCAGGTTTTTTTCTTCCCAATTGGCCACCCTCCATCATCAAGTAGGCTGGGGTGGGCAAGAAGCTGGGAGGGGATGCAGGTGACCCCAACTGACCAAAGGGCCATTCCAGACCATATGATGTCACACTCGCAATAAATGTTCAGGGAAAGGAGGAGGAAGTGGGGATCCTCCTGGTTATGGCTAAACAAACACCTGCCTGCCAATGGGAAGCGGTGAAGGAATTCCTCCTTTTGCTAGAGTGCACAGCTTTCCTTTACTTCACCTGTTAAGCTTCTACTATCCACAAGTTTTCTTGCTTTTGCTCTTCCTAGTCTCTTCCTCCCAGCCTACTGGGGGCGTAGGAGCGAGGTGCAGGTGCTTAGCTGCTGGCTGGGGTCAAGCCACATCACCTCACTCAGGTAAATGTAACTGGCAAAAATCCACTCTTCGGGCCTCCGAGAGTGGCACCATGCCAGAGCACTTAAAAAGTGACTCAGTCTATTATAATGCAAGCTATTCTAATAATTATTTACTGTTATTTAGCAATTTCACTTTTCTTTCAGTAGCACCAGACAGGACTGTAAAAAGGTGGCTTAGAGATCCTGCCTTCTCTTTGGTTGTCCTAAACTTACACAAAAAATAAAGCCAAGGACGTCATTAGTTTTGCAAAGCTCTGTGAACACTAGCATTAGGTGGCAGGATCACAAGCAGCAGTTTCCTATTAAGGCACTTAACAGATTTCTGACACTCACATTCTTCTCTGAATTACAACAATATAACTCTTGCAAGGTTAGTAAATCTTCATGGAACACAATAGTTTTAGTGTATTTTAAAAGTACAGACTATAGGAAAATTAAATATAAGCCATACATAAATAAAAACCTACACACTTAATACTGAAGACTGTTTCGGAAACTTAAAAATCCCCACCACAGCACAGTTGCACTGGATTAGAAATTGTGTTAAAAAAAAATGGCTTCACCTTAAAGGAAACCAGAGTCTTTTACAGGGTGAAAGAAACAAAAATATGATTTCAGAAGCTCCAACTCTCTTCCTCCTGGTTCAAAGAGCTTAAGAGACTAGCCCTTGAAATAATCCCAAGTTTATTTTTCCACTGTTGAATATAGTGGCATTTTCCCATTCTGAATACTCACACTTCAGACCATCCTCATGCAAAGGCGCAAAATTTAAAAAGTAATCATAAATTATTTTCTGGAAAATATTCTGAAAGAATCAAGATCACCAACTGTACTCAACCCTTTCAAGCAAGCAAATATCCTCCTCCTCCTCCTTTGGAGTGTTATTAATTACAAATCCAAGTCTTTTTGAGAAGATCGTAACAGGAAACTTTAGTTCCAAGAGAAGCCTTCTAGAAAAATCTTATTCCCTGTAAAACACTTTTACATACATGAAATATATCTGTTTTGCTGGAGTAAGCCTTTGAAGCTCATGGCATAGTATTACACATTTCATTGCTCTGACTGTCTTAATGCAAATACAACTGATCTAATTTATTACCTGATATCTGAAAGCTGGAGTTGATGAGAGAGTTCAAACTTTAAACGTTCTAGTTCTTTTCTAAGTGGCAAACTCTTTTTCAGCTTTTTAACCGCACTTGCTTCATTATCATCTAGCCAGGATCTGAAAGGAATTTAAAAAAACCCAACAGCAGAGGCATGCTGTATTACCTTTCTTGCAAACAGTAGGACTAACTGAATTCTTACTGTTAACATTCATGTTTTCTTTCACATTATCAGGTAAAGGGAATTTTTAGAAATAGACAACAGAAATTGAAAACTGCAAAATGCTTCATCTTAATATATCTATGAGGGAAAACTTGACACTTAATGTCCTTGAGGACCACTAGTGAATCAAGTTGAACCAAAAGACACTTACTGTTACAACCCTAAGACTTAAGAGGTTTGAAAGGTGTAGAGCAGCAGATCAGTGTGATTTAAGGAGGGCAGCTTCAGAACTTTGTGCTTTAATGAAAGAAGCATTAAAGGGCTAAGTAAAGTAACTCTTACAGAACTGAATATGGTATGAATATGGATTAAGCAGGTCAAAGTTTTACAGATCTTTTGCCAATAATCACAATTAAGCAAAAATGACTCATGAAATATGTCTAAAACTTTCATTGAATAGATGACTCTCTTTCTAGAAAAAAAGCTACTCAGATTTAGCTGTTGTTCATAGCATAAACATATTTCACACTCTTAGAAAAAAGCATTTTTTACATTTTCATATTGTATTCTAAGCAAAAAAAAAAAAATCAACCTCAGAAACAGAGACTCAATGCCAAATGGCTAGGTATTAAAAACATTAATGTGTATCTGTTCATAGCATTTCTTGTAAATGTGTAAAAATAAGTAAAAATATCCTCTAGTGTGTTAAATCTGTTAAGTGTTTCACAGTGGCATACATTACAGTAGGTTTGAGAGGTGTCAGGCAGGGTGAGGGGTATTTGCTCTGAAGATATTACCACCACAGCTCTGCACTTATTTCAAATTGCACCTAAGTCTCATTGTTACCAAAATGTTTTCAAGGCAGTATTTTTCATCCTTCCCCAAAACTAGCAGACAGATTTTATAAACAACCAAGTTCTAACAGGATGCACATAATGCAAGTTCAGTATTTATAATTGCCTGAATTTAAATATTAGGTTTGGTATACTGAACAACAAATCAGAAGCACAACACTAAGATACCTGGCAAATTATAACATTCTAACCTTGGTTTTCACATACTATCTCCCACCTCCAACAGAATACGATAACAAAATACTGACAATAAAGTTAACAGTCATATAGTTTTGTGTTACAGAAGTCCTGCAAGAAGTAAAGAGCTATGTGGAGCAGGTGGAACCTCTGCCTCCTTCAGAATCGCCACCAATATTCCAGAAAATTGAAAAACTAGATCAATCAGAAGGAGCTTGACCAAACATGAATGCTGGGCAAAGAGACAAGAATGTCTCATCTTAGTTGGCGCTACAGTTATCCTAGCACTTCATCTGAACTCTCTTTAACTATAAAAAGTGTGAAAGAATTATATGATGGAAAAGGAAAGTTTTGTATTGTTCAGAATATTTACTGATGCATTTAAAAAACCCAGCATTAGAATAAGACCAATTTAGATTACAAAAGCCTTACATACATTAACGTTGTTTCCACTCTCTGGGCTTGTTCTAGTTCCTCCTCTGGATCCTTGAATCCAGTAAATGAGTAATAAGTCTTATCCCACTTGATAGGTCTGTTCACTGTGCTCTTTGCTTCCTTGTGGGGCTGAGAGTTCACATTCAAACTCTGAATATGCTCCGTGGATAAGCTGCAGGAGTTGAGAATGTCTAATACTGTACTCAGGAGATCCCTAGTATGCAACGTAAAACTGACTGCTCGAAAACCTAAAAAATACAAGTCCCACAAAATTTGTATTACTTAATTAAAGTTACTTAAAATGCATTCACATTGCTCTCATCTTACAAGAACCCAAGCAAGGTGTACGTAGTTGGAAATTATTATATTATTATTTCAACATTCACTACAAAATTCACATGCAATTTTAACCTTTAAAACTGTTACTTGTTCAAATATATGAAATAGAGCTGTTTTAAATATCTGGATCACTGAATAAGTTGGAAATCTAACTACAGATGCACCGTAACCCCCCCAAAGAAGAGGCCATGACTTCAGCAGCGGCAGTTTTGTCCGACAGCTCTATGAAATTCTCGTTACTACTGGTCATCACTTCGGATATAATTTACTGTAGAAACTCAGCACTAGAGCACCTCTTCACAGGAACAGGCCTTCAGAATGAAACACTGCACTTGTGCACTGGCTAAAACTAAGTCCCATCGCTGAGCTACTGAGCTTAACTGCTCCGTTAGAAAGCAAGTGAGTGCTGCACTCAAGAGCAGAATATAGAAAAGAGTTGAACTGGCAGCTATCACTAGGGTCCCTCAACTTGCTCAAATGTTTTGACTAGCAGGATACAGAACATAAAACTCATCTGTTAGATAAGGCATCTTGCTGTACCAGCAACAAATACATAGAATAAAATTAACCAAAACCAGTATTCCAAACTCGGCAATATTTTTTTAAGTCTCAAAACCACGAGACAATGTGGTAAATGAAGCTTCAGGTATTACATAGCTTCTGCAAGCACTGTGATATTGGGGATTACACATTATCTACGATGAAAACACAGACCCAACTGTTGTTCCAGTTAAACATGACAATAGTATTAAAAGCAGGACAACCTATGTTCCTTTCTTCCTCATATTCTAACTTGACCTCAATTCTGTAATTTTTCATTCTTTCAATTTCTCATCCTTTTTAGAGCTTAAGATGTTTAACAACTTGGGATAGTCCTAGTTGTCTGATCTAACACATTTTTATGATCGGACAGGATTTTATTCAGTTGAAAAGTCATGACCGCACAAGGCTAAGCAGTGGTCTCAAAGAATTTAAATACGGGAGGATACATTCTGCACAATACAAAAGCACCTGAAGCACTGAAGGATTCTTGAACATTAGAAGAGTTTGGCTCTCTCTCTCTTACATAAAAAGTAAGCTGAGTAGGTTTAAAGGAGCGAAATCCTGGTTTCTGCAGGTTCTCCAGGTAGCCATTTAACCTCTTCAGAGAGTTTTCATTTACTTCCTGTTAAAAAGAAAACAACAAACCCCACAACATTACAGATGATGAATTTGGTCATTTTTCATCTAAACCTTTTTAATCTTACATGCAGAGGGGTTTTTTTTTTGTTTTCTCTTTTTTTTTTTTTTTTTTTTACAAACTGCCAGCTGCTCTTAACATTCTCAGCATCAATAATTATCTTGCATTAATAAGTTGTATGATGTACATACTTGTACCTTCCAAAGCACCACTTTTAAGGCTTTCAGGCTTAAAGAAATCTGTTGACTCAAATACAATGTAGAGCAATTCAAAGTGATAAAGCAAGTAATACGTATTATAAACTAGTCTGGAAGGATTCGGTATTTTCTTTATAACACTTAAACAGAAAACATGACTTAATGGATTTTTAAGCAACCTATCCTTGTTAAAAATAAAGTGCATCCTTTTGTTCTCCAGTTTACTTTTGTTTCACAGATGGCAGGAAAACTAGAAAACTTCCATCCCTGATATATGACACATTTACAAAGAAAGTAGAGAAGATTTTTACCCTCTCCTTGGGATGCTGGCCAAAGAAATCTGGATGCACAGCAAAATAGAAAGGTCTGAGAGCATTGATGGCATCAGCTCCTGACAAAGTTCTTGACTGAAGAATGCATTGTAGCAGTATCTTCTCCAGACATAACCTAAACCAATAATGTTTATGTAAGATGCAACCAATGAAGTGACAAGCTGACATAAATTACATTAGGATGTGACAGAACGGAGTAAACAATCACAGCTCCAAGAATAACCATTTAAAATTAATATTAGAAGCCTGAGTTCTGGGTTTTCCCCTTGGGACTCACAAAACTGTATTTACAGAGCAAATCAAACAGGTTTGAGAGATGGTGGATGCTAACAGTTGATTAAAGACATGCAAATAAAACCAGTAACATTTGCATCCACTTCCTCAAAGCAAGCTCGAATAAAAATTTCCTGGTCAAGTAGTCCAAATTATGAACATTTGCTTTAGTGGTATTTTTTGTAGCTATTGCAGCTATTTCTGAAGCTAATGTTAAAAGGCCAACCCTTAGCCAAACCCTGTATTTTTCAAGCAGTCAAAAGAATAATAATCATATTTCAATCAAAAGTTCTGCATTAGTCTGAGGTCCACATGCTTGTGTCCATTAAAAAAACCAACATAGACCCAGTAGACTGTTCTACTTTCCCAAACATAAAAGGTAAAAAGGTAAAAGATAGTACACTTTTTTGCCCTTTGATCTTCACCAAAACAGAATAAGGACTAGAAGAAATTTCCGCGGTAGAAAAAGAAGATCACTTGAGATGAGACCGAAAATTTTAGCTGAAGTTGTTCTAAGATGTTCAGAAAGTACAAAAGGTCGAATACGTCTGATTATGCATAAATTAAACAATAGTTCTGCAATGAGTACTCTTGCATAACAGAAGACTTAAACTGAAGGAAAAGCAAGTTCTGAATTAAAGACCCGTAACATTTCCTGCCATACCTCAAAGATGATATTCAGGTTAGCAAATGAATTACCAAGAGATAGTATATTAAAAAGCAGTAAGAAGACGTGAATTGGTAAACATTTAACAACAGATTCTCCTTCAGCTGAAATCAGCAGGACAACCATTTTCTCCAAGTTTGAAACTTAGAAAGGAACAGATTCTGCTCTGTTAAACAATATAATACTGCTTCACTCCTCACAGCATCATTCAATCTGCAAGTACCAAATACAAAAGAAAATATGGCAGACTGGAGGCAAAGCTGCTTCCAATTCACATAAAAGTAATAACTTCATTAATAGTAGTAAGCAAGACTGTTTACAAAGAGCTATTTGTTCAGCAACCTAGACCAAATAATCATGCCAGACACAGAAACACGTAAGACCAAATAATCATCTCAGATAAAGAAACATAAGACTATTTCCTGATCGCTTTCATTAATAAAAAAATATCAGCAAAATCCTCAAGTTTTTGCTCAGACAATAAGCATTATTTTTTTATTTTGGCAAATGGTGGAGTAAATGACAACAGTCGAGTCGTCAAGCAGATGCAGGGACCCTTACCTTATTCTGTCAACCTTTCCAGCTCTTCAATTAGAAGCATGAAAGCAGTTAAACCTAATGTTTTCTGCCTAAGAGCTGGACAAATATTTAATTAGCATGCCTTAAAAGTCAGCTTGCTGAAAATGGGAGAGTTTTTGTAGAAAAGCGAGATGGAAAACCTGTAATACAAGAAGACCGATGAAATTTCAAACCTTTATGACTGAAAACAATTTTCATGTGTGTGGATTAAGAAGAAGATTATATTTAAAAAGAAATGTATTACTGGCAAACACCTCTACCTCCTTGCTAGCGGTGTCTCAGAAAGGCTCTAAGACTAGTCATCAATACAGCTCATAATCCCACTCAAAATAGCAGGAGATGGTAAAGTACCACAGCAATATCATGTTTTTTATGGAGTGCAAAGCTCTCAATGACAAGATCATGCCAGAATTGCTCAATGACAGAAAAAAACCATCCACCTGACCTGGCAAGAAAGAAAGCAAAGCACACTAGATGAAAGTCCACTTGGTCACAAGCTTCACCATTTTGGATCTGGAAACACTGAAATAATAGTCTTGCTGAGAAAAAAAAAAAAAAAGAAATAGCAGATTTTGTTTTTTTCTGGTAGCAAGTGGACACAAAGCAGTAAAGAAGAAAAAGAGTTCCTTCCAACAAAGGAAAAAGTAAATTAATCAGCCACCTATCTGATAGTGGTATGGATTAACAGCCATGCAAGAACATACTCCTAGACCCAGCTGCTAGGAGGAAGCAAGGAGCTCAGTTCTCCACCTTATTTGTCTACCATTTCCCATATCCACTCCTTAGCTACACTGCATGCTATTTCCAGGTGTGAAAAAAGTTCCAACATACCTGGAAACTATTAATCATACTTCCAAGTTTATTAACCATAAACTTTCGTCTGTTATTCTGCAAGAAAGACGGGCAAGTATGGTTAACTTCAGTTGCCTTGTTTTGTATCTAAACAACACTGTAATGCCAGTAGGAAGGATCAGGATTCCAGCCAAATATCTATTTTGAACTTGCTTAAGAGAGAAATGTTCAAAGGCCAAAATTAGACTGTGTGACAGAAGGCAGAATTCATTCACTGAAGGTGAAAGACAGAACTCCAAGGCATCCTTCAAGTGAAGTGACAAATCAAGTGAATTAAAATCCATTTAGAGGGAAAATGCAAGAAAGATGCCTATAGCTTCAGTTGTCAGGAACGAGGATTGTTCCCAGAGCTCCACTCAGATTTAGAAGAGCAGAGAAAGGCTTTGTGTTAAAATCAAGGTCACAACCACTTTGAGGACAGCCATCTCTATGGAAGATATGAAACACAATCTCCACTAGAATACATTATGCAATCGTACTCTAGGACTTGATTTAATTTATTGATAAAATAATATCCTTCAGCTTTCTTTCCACTTTTTCCTCCTATCTCTCAGAAGTTCAACTTCTTGGCTTATAGCTTCAGCACTGAAGAGATTCATGAAATTAAGCCCATTAGTAAAGGTATATTCACTCATTTTTACAACACTGAGCTTTAATAACTCAATAATGCAGTAATATATTGGGCATCATATTCAGATTTAGACTACCACTTTCTCATAATTAAGATATTTAAAAACCCTTGTTTTTTTAAGAGTCTTTTAAAGGTCTCACTCGAGGACAGGCATCCAGCTCTAGAGGATTTTCCACTGTGGATACTCTGTTAAAAGCTTTGAGATGTATAGATGAGAAAGTCAAAGAAATAAGCATAATAATATAAGAAATACTAAACCAGTTTTACATATATGCAAGTCATAAGCAAACACTTAAACATATGCTAAATTAGGTCAGCAACATGCCATACCTTCTCACAGCTCTCAAGCAGCAAAACATTTCAGCAACTCAATGGTCAAGCCAGCTTTCAGCCATCCATTAACTCACTAAAAATAAAATAAAATCCTCTTTAGTAACACCAGACATTAATATTTTCTCCTGCTACTTATTAGTGCATTCTATAAATCCTAGGTGATATTTCGAAAGTCACAATAATAATATAAAATTGGGAAATCACAGATAAAATCTAAAGCTTTACATCAGACTGTTTTCAGCTTCCTGTACCAACAGTGAGTCAAATAACAAGACCTGTTACCATATTTTGATTTGAAGAGGAATATTTAAAGATTTTTCAGTTAGGGGAAAAAAAATCCTAAAAAATAATTTACTGAAAATGTTTCCTGCTTTTCCTGATGTTCAGTTTTTGTCTTCAAGTACAGAAACAAAAAATCCAGAAGCCTTCTTTAAGCACTAACACATACCAACTTACAGAACTCCACAGAAATTTTTATTCTTTTAGGTCAAAAACTTTCAGAAAAAATATTTGTAAAGTTTATATGCCAACTATTTTATGGGGCACAATACAAAAACCAAAAGGAAAGACACCATCCTACAACAACATCTGTAAATCTTTGTCCAAGGTTTGCTGGCAGTCATGGAAACGAATTAGCAATTTTTACCAGTAACTTTTGCACTATGCAACTATAACCAAGAATTTTCCAGCAGGAGATAAACCACTTAATGTGCTGGAATGTAAACTTATACCTAATTATCAGGGATTACGAGGGAAGCTCCCTACCAGTAATGTTTTCATGTACTTCTGGGGTTTTTTTAGTATTTTGTTTGCACTTTTCAAAATAACATGCTCCCATAACACATGCCATTTTAAAGCATCTGGGATAAGCACTTACTAGAGAAATATCACCCCTGCTCCAGTACAGCATGAGAGTTCCTATGACTATGTTGCAAAACACCTGAAGTTTTAATACAAATATACTTAACTAAAACCACAAATTGTTTTAGTAAGTATTCTACTAGAGGTAAACAGGGTGAGAAAAATACAGGCTGAGCTAAAACATCCCCAAAATATTTTATAATTTTTGTCTTCTGATTTTCAACTAGGTGGGCAACACAATTATAATTCCAGTTTTAGTGTCCCTAACAACAATAGTAATCATAAACTAATTTAAATACATTAACAAGCTCTTTGTTAATAAACACTTTTCTCTCCCTGTAATTTTAGCTTCGGGAATTTGGACAGAGAATGGGAAAAAACTCAACAATCTCACTAATCTGTGGTGACACTTTATATAACCATACAAAAGCACCACTGTTTCTTAGTTTAAAGCTTTATTATCCGCTTAGTAATTGTAACACAGCAAAAAAAAATAAAAAAAAAATCTCCTGGTTCTACACAAGATTCTTCTGCACTCCACCTCAAAGATAGGTTTGAGAATACCAGCCAAAACACTAATTTAACTTGCAGTCATTGTGCAAAAGCCTTTGGCAACGTGCATTCTACCACGTTAACATTCAAACCCAGATCATCTCTTTCAGGGCTTCTGACCCTTGAGGCAGTTCTAGAAAACAAACAAGACGACAGCGTTCAGAGAGGCAGCCTGGATGAAGCCGGCGCTTGGAAGAAAACAAGCTGTGGTGACCCAACCGCTAATGCTTTTAGCTACTTAAACCACAGCCCTGACAGAACTCGCTCTGAAATTCCCCAGAGGTGAGGTGTCTCCTGCAGCCCCCTCACGGCACAACGGCCAGCGCTGCGCGCCGCAGGCCGCCCCCCGCCCCACGGACGGAGTAAGGGCCGATCTGCCCCGGCCGCAGCGCGTTCCAGGCA